CTGCCTCTAGATCTGACAGATCAAGACTACTTTGTCCGATCCGAGCTCTCAGATGGTATATACACCGCACATCTAGTTTTAGAGGGAATCGTCGTCATCTCTTCCTCTCCTGTAAAACAAATGTTAATACGGACATATCTAAGAATACAATTTCTTCATGGCTCAGGAAGACAATCGCCTATGCTTACGGAGACTTGGATCAAGAATCAGTTAATGTTAGATTCTCGCCACATGAGATTAGAGCATTAGCATCATCAGTAGCGGCATGGGGTTCAGTTTCAGTTGAACGAGTGGTGGCTAGTTGTCAATGGAAGTCCTCAAACACATTTATAAATTTTATTTAAGAGATGTAGCCTCTTCAATGGAAGGCCTTAAGTCCCTGGGTCCGTTAGTAGCGGCACAACACCTTTCCTCCGCCTAGTACCTATTAAAAGAGTAGTAGCAGGGATTGGATCATGTGTCAAGCATGTTACACACCTGGATTATACGATGATGGAGAGAAGATATAGAGACAGAAGTATTATCAGGTAGGTCACAGTTACGATTATCCCTATTATAGATACTAACCGAACTCAGGTGGTGGTTGAGTATTGAAAGGGAGTAGTCTCTAATTATTACGGAATTAATCTTAAGGATTGGGAGAATCAACCGGAAGTGACGTCATAAACCGGAAGTGACGTCATAGACCGGAAGTGACGTCATAGACCGAAGTGACGTCATAGACCGGAAGTGACGTCATAGACCGAATATTGACCGGAAGTGACGTCATAAATGGGAAGTTACGTCATGAGATGACAGAATTCGGGGAAGTTGTAAATTGGAAATTATCAATATTAATTCATCTGAAGAGTAGTATAATTCGATTGATAATTAGAGACTACTCAATATTTGGACAGAAGTCCAGTGGACAATGATCCAATATTATATTTCACCAGTTAATTATTTACTACTAAGTCATAGTTATCCTTAGAGGATTTTGATCATGGAGAATAACTCACTAGTGGTATGGTATGCTTCAGGACTATTCTTCTAGGGAGAGCCCTCCATCCGTATGTGGGATTCAGGCAACCATAATCCAGAGGGAATGTTTACGCCTCAATTAGGAACAATTACATTTATTGTTAGTAATTGTTAGTAAACTTACCTCTGGATTATGGGGTATAGGTCCCGCCCTTCCTCCCCACCTTTCCTCTAGAAGATAAGTGTTTTGTAAACTGTATTCATAAAATTTGTGAGGATTTTCAAACTACTATACAGTGACATCTAGGTCAGGGGGAGGTAACTCTGTCAGTTGGAAGGGCATACCACAAGGGATAGCTATGACTTAGTGTTAAAATTTTCACTTCATTTTGTATGTGTCTGTGGAAACCACAGAATAAGGCAACCATAATCCAGAGGTAAGTTTACTAACAATTACTAACAATAAATGTAATTGTTCCTTTTCATATCTTTACAAAACCAATACTTGTTGGATATATTTGGGGTTTTACACTAAATCCCCCAAACAGATGCGTATTAAACAATGTCTCACTGGCAACCATTGGCAAATCATATATTTAGGTGCTATATCATAAGGAAATTTTGTTGATATTTTATTAATTCATTAAATCTAGACCCAAATTTATTAATGTATTTTTAAGTATTTCAGTATTTTCATAAAACATGGGTAAGCATTTCTGTGGTTGCAATGTCACATTCTTAGTTCATAAATCACGTAATCGTTTCCTTTAAAGTTTTGTGGGAATTTTTTTTCATTAAAATTATGCAAGGTGCAATTGAGGGAGGTATGTGTTGTGTGCAGTAACCAGTTCCACTTTGTATTTGCGCAGCATGATGCACACTTGCAGACAACTGTAGACAGGAGTCGAGTTTAAGAAATTCGCACCTCCACCGTTGAAGAGTGCGATCTTAGCTAAGATCGCGATCTTAAATCCATGCTGTCTTACAATCGCGCTAAGATCAGCTTTGTGCAAGTGGATTAGGGCAATTGTATGGTGATTGTAAAGTTGATTGTAAGGCCCTAAGATTGATTGTAACTAAGATTGCTCTGTGCAAGTGGGCCCTGGACATGTTACAGTAAGGATCATTATGTGTTACAGGTATCGTCATAAGTAGAGATGTGTGACAAGAAAGATCATGACTAGAGATATGTTACAGGTAGAATCATGACTAGAATCATGACTATAGATATGTTACAGGTAGAATCATGACTAGAGATATGTTACAGCTAGAATCATGACTAGAGATATGTTACAGGTAGAATCATGACTAGAGATATGTTACAGGTAGAATCATGACTAGAATCATGACTATAGATATGTTACAGGTAGAATCATGACTAGAGATATGTTACAGGTAGAATCATGACTAGAGATATGTTACAGGTAGAATCATGACTAGAGATGTGTTACATGTAGGATCATGACTAGATATGTGTTACTGGTAGAATCATGACTAGAATCATAACTAGAGATATGTTACAGCTAGAATCATGACTATAGATATGTTACAGCTAGAATCATGACTAGAGATGTGTTACAGGTAGAATCATGACTAGAGATATGTTACATGTAGAATCATGACTAGAGATGTGTTACATGTAGGATCATGACTAGATATGTGTTACAGGTAGAATCATGACTAGAATCATAACTAGAGATATGTTACATGTAGAATCATGACTAGAATCATAACTAGAGATATGTTACAGGTAGAATCATGACTAGAATCGTAACTAGAGATATGTTACAGGTAGAATCATGACTAGAGATATGTTACAGGTAGAATCATGACTAGAATCATAACTAGATATATGTTACAGGTAGAATCATGACTAGAATCATAACTAGAGATATGTTACAGGTAGAATCATGACTAGAATCATAACTAGAGATATGTTACAGGTAGAATCATGACTAGAATCATAACTAGAGATATGTTACATGTAGAATCATGACTAGAATCATATCTAGAGATATGTTACAGGTAGAATCATGACTAGAATCATGACTAGAGATATGTTACAGGTAGAATCATGACTAGAATCATAACTAGAGATATGTTACAGGTAGAATCATGACTAGAGATATGTTACAGGTAGAATCATGACTAGAATCATAACTAGATATATGTTACAGGTAGAATCATGACTAGAATCATAACTAGAGATATGTTACATGTAGAATCATGACTAGAGATATGTTACAGGTAGAATCATGACTAGAGATATGTTACAGGTAGAATCATGACTAGAGATATGTTACAGGTAGAATCATGACTAGAGATGTGTTACAGGTAGAATCATGACTAGAGATATGTTACAGGTAGAATCATGACTAGAGATATGTTACATGTAGAATCATGACTAGAGATATGTTACAGGTAGAATCATGACTAGAATCATAACTAGAGATATGTTACAGGTAGAATCATGACTAGAGATATGTTACAGGTAGAATCATGACTAGAGATATGATACAGGTAGAATCATGACTATAGATATGTTACAGGTAGAATCATGACTAGAGATATGTTACAGGTAGAATCTTGACTAGAGATATGTTACAGGTAGAATCATGACTAGAGATATGTTACAGTTAGAATAATGACTAGAGATATGTTACAGGTAGAATCATGACTAGAGATATGTTACAGGTAGAATCATGACTAGAGATATGTTACAGGTAGAATCATGACTATAGATATGTTACAGGTAGAATCATGACTAGAGATATGTTACAGGTAGAATCTTGACTAGAGATATGTTACAGCTAGAATCATGACTAGAAATGTGTTACAGCTAGAATCATGACTAGAGATATGTTACATGTAGAATCATGACTAGATATGTTACAGCTAGAATCATGACTAGAGATATGTTACAGCTAGAATCATGACTAGAGATGTGTTACAGGTAGAATCATGACTAGAGATATGTTACAGGTAGAATCATGACTAGAGATGTGTTACATGTAGGATCATGACTAGATATGTGTTACTGGTTGAATCATAAGTAGAGATTTGTGACAAGAAGGGCCATGACTAGAGATATGTTACAGGTAGAATCATGACTAGAGATGTGTTACATGTAGGATCATGACTAGAGATATGTTACAGGTAGAATCTTGACTAGAGATATGTTACAGGTAGAATCATGACTAGAGATGTGTTACATGTAGGATCATGACTAGATATGTGTTACTGGTAGAATCATAAGTAGAGATTTGTGACAAGAAGGGCCATGACTAGAGGTATGTTACAGGTAGAATCATGACTAGAGATGTGTTACATGTAGGATCATGACTAGATATGTGTTACTGGTAGAATCATAACTAGGGATGTGTTGCAGGTAGGATCATGACTAGATATGTGACACAGGTAGAATCGTTACTAGAGATGTGTTGCAGGTAGGATATGTGTTACAGGTAGAATCATAACAAGATATGTGTTACAGGTAGGATCATGACTAGAGATGTGTTACAGTTAGGATCATAAGTAGAGATTTGTGACAATAAGGATCATACCTAGATATGTTTTACAGGTAGAATCGTAACTAGAGATGTGTTGCAGGTAGGATATGTGTTACAGGTAGAATCATAACAAGATATGTGTTACAGGTAGGATCATGACTAGATATGTGTTACAGGTAGGATTATAACTAGATATGTGTTACAGGTAGAATCATGACTACATATGTGTTACAGGTAGGATCAGAGACTTGTTACAGGTAGGATCGAAATTAGAGATTCATTACAAGAAGGATCATGACTAGAGATGTGTTACATGTAGGATCATAACTAGTTTTACGGGTGATGTGTGTGTCAATAGTAGATTCCTTTTGTTATAGATGATGTGTGTGTCAATAGTAGATTCCTTGTGTTACAGGTGATGTGTGTGTGTCAACAGTAGATTCCTTGTGTTACAGGTGATGTGTGTGTCAAGGGTAGATTCCTTGTGTTACAGGTGATGTGTGTGTCAAGGGTAGATTCCTTGTGTTACAGGTGTGTCTGAAGTACTATGAACATGAGTTTGTGGAGCTGGCATGTCAGTGTCCGGCAGTGGTGGTGTGTCGCTGTTCCCCCACACAGAAGGCTGACATTGTGAAGCTGTTAAAGACGCACACCGGCAAGAGGACATGTGCTATTGGTGAGCTAGGACTGGTTGACTGTGCCCACTTTGATACTTCAGCCAATCTGAAGGCAGCAACTTGAAAAAGAATAATGAACAATTGTCATTGTGTTGTCAAAAAAGCAAGGGGTACAAAGCAAATTTGTGTCTCATTTTTTCATGAGTTGCTGAGATGTCAGCTTCTTCCATCACATAAATGTGGAATTTAGGTAAGAAAAATATTTGAAGAATATTTTATTGTGGTGTAAGAGATATGGATGTCCAATGCCCATGTAACAGAGTATGGTTGTATGAAGATTGTATAAGCTGTTTCTCCACGGGCAGGTGACGGCGGCAATGATGTTAGCATGATCCAGGCAGCAGATGCAGGCATTGGTATCGTCGGCAAGGTCAGTCAGCCAGCCACGTGCTTACCATGCTTGTTAATGACAAAGTATGGAATGTACTTTGGGACGTTAAAGTTACTGTAATTGTCTTGTTTTCATGTATAAAATCATCTATTACATGTCTGAAGATCTTATTTGTGCTGACTTTTTGCATAAAAATGCTTTCTGTGTGCTCAGGAAGGAAAACAGGCGTCCCTGGCTGCAGACTTCTCCATCACCCAGTTCAGTCACATCGGCCACTTGCTGGTTGTACATGGCAGAAACAGGTAAGATCATTCACAATACCGCAGTCATGGTAGACCCCAAACACTTAACAACTAGGTTGATATTCACTCAATAATGCTACTTGAGACTACATGGAATTTCACTCAGTCCCACTTAGGTGGACCCTAACATCTAACAAACTATGTGGGATTTCACTGTCACACTTATGGGAACCCTAACATCTAACAAACTATGTGGAATTTCACTCAGTCACATTTAGGTGGACCCTAACATCTAACAAACTATGTGGGATTTCACTCAGTCACATTTAGGTGGACCCTAACATCTAACAAACTATGTGGGATTTCACTCAGTCACACTTAGGTGGACCCTATCATCTAACAAACTATGTGGGATTTCACTCAGTCACATTTAGGTGGACCCTAACATCTAACAAACTATGTGGGATTTCACTATGTGGGATTTCACTCAGTCACACTTAGGTGGACCCTAACATCTAACAAACTATGTGGAATTTCACTCAGTCACACTTATGGGGACCCTAACATCTAACAAACTATGTGGAATTTCACACAGTCACACTTAGGTGGACAATAACATCTAACAAACTATGTGGAATTTCACTCAGTCACACTTAGGTGGACCCTAACATCTAACAAACTATGTGGAATTTCACTCAGTCACACTTAGGTGGACAATAACATCTAACAAACTATGTGGAATTTCACACAGTCACACTTATGGGGACCCTAACATCTAACAAACTATGTGGAATTTCACTCAGTCACACTTAGGTGGACAATAGCATCTAACAAACTATGTGGAATTTCACACAGTCACACTTATGGGGACCCTAACATCTAACAAACTATGTGGAATTTCACTCAGTCACACTTATGGGGACCCTAACATCTAACAAACTGTGTGGAATTTCACTCAGTCACACTTAGGTGGACAATAACATCTAACAAACTATGTGGAATTTCACACAGTCACACTTAGGTGGACCCTAACATCTAACAAACTATGTGGAATTTCACTCAGTCACACTTAGGTGGACAATAACATCTAACAAACTATGTGGAATTTCACACAGTCACACTTAGGTGAACAATAACATCTAACAAACTATGTGGAATTTCACTCAGTCACACTTAGGTGGACAATAACATCTAACAAACTATGTGGAATTTCACTCAGTCACACTTAGGTGGACCCTAACATCTAACAAACTATGTGGAATTTCACTCAGTCACACTTAGGTGGACCCTAACATCTAACAAACTATGTGGAATTTCACTCAGTCACACTTAGGTGGACCCTAACATCTAACAAACTATGTGGAGTTTCTAGCAATCACTCTTAACATCCCAAACATACGCATGTCTAGTGTGATTCATCTTTATGAAAACATTATTTTGAGAAAGACAATTTTGAATTTGAGAAAGTGATTGATGGAGTTATTTGTTTGTATGTTGACGATATGTGAGTGATACATATGATTCCATGTTACGTCCTATATACAGCTACAAGCGGTCAGCAGCTCTCAGTCAGTTCGTCATCCATCGAGGCCTCATCATCAGCGCCATGCAAGTGGTTTTCTCTTCTGTTTTCTACTTCGCCTCACTTGCACTCTTCCCAGGATTCCTCATTGTAGGGTGAGTTGAAAGGCAGATCCTGCCAAGTTTAATCTATCAATTCTTTGTAATATGTTCTTTGCTGAAAAGTTAATGGTTTGTATACACCATATAACTGCAGCAGTTCATCACGACTGTTTTGACACTGAGTACTTGGCCTGGGACTATTGTTTAATATCGTAAGATTATTTGTTTGGTTATTCTTTTTGAAAAGGACCCTTTTAGTGAACTTTTGTTAGAGTTGCTTGTACAGCATCTTGCATTTTGACTTAACAACTTGAACTGTGTTTTAGAAATATCACTTCAAAGACTGTTTGAGATATAGCTCTGTATACACATGGTGTCAGATAAGCAACTTTATCTTACTTTCATGTGAAATACTTTAATTTCATTGGCCAATGACGCTTTAACAAGTTTCCATGTCACCCTTCCCAGGGGGTGACAACTGAAAAATATATTACCCACGGCTACGTTAACTGCCAAACCCTCCACCGAGAAGTTGTATCGCTAACAATCGTATAAAGTCATATTATTACCCACGCGTGGTCAGCGGTGGGTAGTTGCATACTAATCTAAATGCGTGCCACACGCGTATCAGCGTTGACCTGTGTCGTAGCGACTTGACCTGAGATTCTAACGATTTGATTGGATAACCGATGACCTCTCAATTAGGTAATGACGTAACTATATTTTCATTCATAACAAACACGTGAATTCATTCATTCTACAACTTAAATGCATTGTGGGAATGTAAGCATCGAGAGCGTTGCGGGTCGCTGTTTAATTGTGAGTCGAACCAATACATTATATCCGTCGAAAAACATAAAGCGCAATGTTTCCACCAGTGATGTTAGCGAATGAAGCAACTGCAAACCAAGAAGCGGGGTGCTACGGAGTAGTTTACTGTAGGAGGCTGTTCGAGGCGATGACAACTGACATGCATCGTGACGCGGTTACCAAGGCAGTGGCGTCCATTTGGTGTGGCGTCATGCAAATATTGTACTACAGTACAAAACTCTTCCAACCCCTTTATAAAACCGGTTTGGTTAGAAACCAAATATTAACAAAAATACGCTATTTTGTCAGTTTAATGCATGTAAGGCGTGGGTAATAAATAAAATACCACGCTTGGTCTCATTACATCACGAATTATCACGAACTTCATTGGCCTTCCTATGTTGCACACAGGAAGGACACTCGCTTCGTATAATTAAGTAATATGAACCTCGAACAATGTAATATTCTCTATATATGTCGCATGCAGTGGCCGGAGTTCGCAAACCGTTCGATTAGCTGTATTTTTAGTTCACTATCTACAGATTTATTTTACCGACTTTCACTGCTTTATTATCCCCCGCCGCGCGTTTAGCGCGAAGCAGGGGATATAGTATTACGCTCCGTCCGTACGTACGTACAAATTGGAATATTTTAAGAACTGTTGACTAGATTATTTTCATATTTGGTACCTAGGTTCATCACAGTAAACGAAAGGTCCCAGTCAGGTTTGATGACCTTGACCTTAATTTCAAGGTCACAAGGGGACTTTAACGTTTTACTCTTGTCAGCAAGATATCTCAAGAACCGTTCTCTAGATTTTCTTCATATTCAGCACCAAGCTTTATCTAGGGAAGGTGCAGGGCCCAGTCGATTTTGGTGACCTTTCAAGGTCACAAAGACACTTTGAAGATTTCACCATGTTAAATTGCATGTTAAGATAGTCAGCAAAATATCGCAAAAACCATTCGCTGGATTTTTTTCATATTTGACACCAAGCTTCATCTAATGAAGGTGCAGGGCCCAGTCGATTTTGGTGACCTTCACATAATTTTCAAGGTCATGGCGACACTTTGAAGATTTCAGCATGTTAACCTGCATGTTGTGCTTGCCACCGAGATACCTCAAGAACCATTCTCTGAATTTTCTTCATATGTGGCGCCAAGCTTCATCCAGGGAAGGCGCAGGGCCCAGTAGATTTTGGTGACCTTCACTTATTTTTCAACTTCACAGCGACACTTTGAAGATTTCAGTATGTTAAATTGCATGTTAAGATAGTCAGCAAGATATCGCAAAAACCATTCGCTGGATTTTTTTCATATTTGACACCAAGCTTCATCTAATGAAGGAGCAGGGCCCAGTCAATTGTTGGTGACCTTCACATAATTTTCAAGGTCACTGCGACACTTTGAAGATTTCAGCATGTTAACCTGAATTCACTGGATTTTCTTCATAGACTTTCAAGACTTCCCTTGAATGTTTTTCAGTAAGCAATTTCTTTAGTACCATTTTTGCATATTTCATACACCATGACATTCATATCAAGGTCAAAGTCAGTCTTGAAAATATTTGTGTGTTTGAAAAACTAAAGAGCAAGATATCAAGAGAGGTTGACTGGTCATGTTTTTGTTGACATTTAACTTCATCTTAAACTTTCAATACTTTTTAAGTTTGATTTGATAATTTGCGGCATGGGATTATGTCACCTTAGTGACAATGCTTGTTTAAACTATTTCATACATTGAGTCGTTTTCACACTCAACTTACAAAGAGGCATACATAAGACCGTATTACCCTAGAGAGATGCATACAACTTATAGTATACACTGTTTCAGATATGCTTCTGTATACCCTATAATTGTAATGTGTCTCTCTATACAAATGTTTCAGGTATGCCTCTGTATACCCTATGATTGTAATGTGTATCTCTATGCAAATGTTTCAGATATGCCTCTGTATACCCTATGATTGTAATGGGTCTCTATATACAAATGTTTCAGATATGCCTCTGTATACCCTATGATTGTAATGTGTCTCTCTATGCAAATGTTTCAGATATGCCTCTGTATACCCTATGATTGTAATGTGTCTCTCTATGCAAATGTTTCAGATATGCCTCTGTATACCCTATAATTGTAATGTGTCTCTATATACAAATGTTTCAGATATGCCACAGTATACACAATGTACCCTGTTTTCTCTCTGGTGCTTGACAAGGACGTGTCTCCTCAGATTGCAATGACCTACCCAGAACTATATAAGGAGTTGACCAAAGTAAGTGTGAGTGAGTGAGTGAGTGAGTTGAGTTTTTGTGCCGCGTTTAGCAATATTCGAGAAAGATCATGGCGGGTGACACCAGAAATGGGCTTCACATACTGTACCCAAGTGGGGAATCGAATCCAGGTCTTCGGTGTGACAAGCGAATGCTCTAACCACTAGTCTACCCCACCACCACCCAAAGTAAGACATCACAGCTGTCAGATAACATGTCCCGGTGTTGTAAGATAAACTTTCAGACAAGGCTTTGTTACTTCATAAAAGTGACCGCCTCCGTGGTGTAGCGGTTAGAGCATCCGCCGGGAGAGCGGAAGGTCGCGGGTTCGATCCCCGACCGTGTCATACCAAAAGACGTTAAAATATGGTACTTGTTGGTCCCTGCCTGGTGCTCGGTATTAATGAGTACAACAAGGACTGGTCGGCTCGGAGTCAGTATAATGTGTCTGAGTGGGGTATTCATGCTTCACTACGGCATGGTATCTCAGTGGGCTAGCACTATAAAACCAGCTTAAGTCTGGGCTAGTACAAGCAGCTGCACATACACATACACACGCATGCACGTCGTCATATGAGCGAAATATTCTCAATCCCAATTTCACCTCACTTCATAAAAGTGATATGAAAGTTGCACAAAAAGACACTAATCACTGAAATCCAAATATGTTTCAGGGTCGATCACTGTCTTTCAAAACCTTCTTCATATGGGTGCTTATAAGTATTTACCAAGGTAAGTGGAGAATTATATTATCAACTGCTGTTTTGTCATCATATCTCTTCTCATTTCTGATTCGTCAGGATATCGTGCCCTTGATTTAAGCAGCCATTTCACCACAAATGGAAACATTTAATAAAAGAGTTCTCAGTCCTAATTTGTTGAGTTTCTGTTGTTGATATCTGTGAGTATAATACCTGGGACATGAAGTCTGAGCTGCAAATACATACAGGATAGAGTTGACTAAAGTACTGTCGGAAATAGAAAAAACTGTATTTGCTCATTTATCTCTACCATTTATGTAGTTGATATGTGAAAGTGTGAAATATCTGTTAAACTAAGTTCGGCCTAACTACAAGTCTCAGTGGTAGGGACATAGGAAACGTAGAAAAAGGTCTTTACTGAGGAGAGATTAGTGCAGAAATGAGCAATGCGTTTTTGTTCTAAGTCCAAAGCGATTTATTTGGAACAGACCATGGCTTTATGCAAATTAGTGTGCGACGATATTGTATTACAAAGGACACTTTTTAAATGCCCAATTTGAAATTAGACATAGCTTCATTATAAACAATAGCTGGTGTAAAAATAATAACTTTCATGCTGAAACTATTAAGGATGTAGCTACCATGGAGTCTCACTGTCACTATGAAACAAAACAGATAGGAGGGTTCGTCTCAAAAGCAAAGCCTGGACAGGTGTCGCAGACGATCGTTGGGGTCGGCCTGGGGGATAGAGATATCAGCTAAGATAAGATAATCCTTTAGGGCAATTATACTGGGGAAGTACACGGCATGTCATAACAACTTACAAATAATATCCAGTCCTGTCGATCTTCGCGATCAGGTGGTCATGCCACCTTATACATTCAATATGATGCCTTTCTGTGGTTATCAGGTATCATACTCTTTTACATATCTCAACATAAACTTCATGAAAGAAAGACACGCAAGATGTTAATCAATAGATGAGGCATAGTCAACACACATAAAAAGCACAAAATATCTTTGAGATTACCCCTTGTGCCTGTAGGCAGCACGTGCATTTCATGCCAGGTGAGTCGACGGTCCGTTGTCATACCTGGCTGAGCGACCTAATTGCCATCTATAGTCTGATATATTGTTTTCAGCAGCTATTCGTATTTTTTCTAAGTTTTGCCCGATTTTACGAGTAAACATGCTTTTCTGGATATTCTATTACGCATCCCACTGAATGCCAAGTTAGGCCAAGTGGGTTATTTAGACATTTGCTATTTGCAGTTGTGTAAGTTTTAGGGATACAGAGTAACAGCCTAGAAACAGTTATTTTCTATTTCTGACAGTACTTTAAGTATTTCAGACATCAGACAAGTCCTTGTACAAAATTAGTGATCAGCTCTGGTGGGTGTAATGGTTGAGCCAAACATAGCATTACACTACACGAGATGTATTTAGATAAACTGTTGTTGATGTTCCAGGGGGCATAATCATGTACGGAGCTCTTCTGCTGTTTGAGGAGGAGTTCCTCCATGTCGTCTCCATCACCTTCACCTCCCTCATCCTCACAGAGCTGTTAATGGTTGCCTTGACGATTCGCACGTGGCACTACCTGATGATTGTAGCTCAAGTCTTCAGTCTTGCCATTTACATTGCATCACTAGTTGTCCTGAAAGACTACTTTGGTAAATACTTTTGGTATTAGTGCTCAAACACCTAAGATGTACGAACGCTGAATATATAACGCAACCCTCTCCTATTGTAGCAGTCGGCAGTGCAGATAAGGGGTTATATGTAGACCCAGGTCTAGTGTAAAACAGCAACAAAGTAATCAAATCCCTTTGATTTGTGTCATGTATGGTATTTGGCAGATGATGAAAATATTAGAGCACAGTTTACTTGAACACTTCAGTCGATCACTTTTCTTAATTCAATTGTTTTCTTTGACACATTTGCGGGTTACACAAAACCCAGTTGTAGAGGCTGCATAAAAGGATTACACAAGGTCAAAAAGTATCTTGCCCTCAGTTTTCTCACACATTCCATATTTGGAACTTTTCCATTACATTATAATATATCATTTTTTCCCTCATCATTCATATTTCTAATTTAGTGAGTTACTTGCAGATGCTAAGTTCCTCCAGACGTGGGACTTTGTGTGGAAAGTGTTGGTCATCACCTCGGTCAGCTGCATCCCCCTGTATGTGTTGAAGTATCTGCGGAAGAAGTTCTCCCCTCCCGTCTATTCCAAACTGACACCATGAGTATCTGGTAAGCCAGGGACCTGGATCTGCTGGCACCCATGTGACAGGTCACGTGGAAACCTGCACAAGCATTACTATGAAGTGTGGCCAACGTATTCTGACAAGTACTGAAATGTGTGAACTCAACCAGATATGTTGAGTATCAGAAAGAATTTTATCATCCAGCTCACATTGAATCATACGAAAGGATATGTGGAATTGAAGTGAAATTCTCTTCTCTCGCAGGTATTCCTGTGATGTGAAGGTGGGATAAATGAAAACAATGTGAATATCAAAGAAAATGTATCCATGAAAAAAAGTGACCAGTTATTTAATGTTTTAAAGAGAACTGTATGAAGAGAATGATGTACATCTATCTCAGAGCATCTTTACAAAACCCAGTCTATCCCAAGTGATGCCTCGCGAGCATTAAAACATTTATTGTAAGGAAACCTGGATGAGGTGACTTTTCTGCCATTAACCAGTGAATCGTGCATAGATCTGTAGTATGTTCATGGACTAGTACTGTGAGCTGATTGCAGTCATGGCTCTAAAGATCAGACAGGTCTTCCAATGATTAGCACTGTAATTACACCGGTAGTGATGGAAGTCTTGCATGTCAAATCAAGGGAGGTTCCCTGGAGAATGAACTGCAAATGTTTGAGTACAACAAATTAGGTAATGACAGTCCTGCATATGTAAATATTTTTCAAAGCTTATTTATTATCCCATTCACATTGTATTATGATAAGGGGAAAAATGTATATATGCATTTCTTGTGCTGCATGTATATAAAATATGTTTTATACATCTGTGTATTGTCATCTGTTTGTTTGGATGGCAACAGTTGATGTTGCTTCACCTGTTGGAATGAACTAAAAATGCTCAAAGACTCCACAAAAAGCTTCATTTGTTTATTTGATCAAAGATACTTTTCACAATATGACTGTTATAAATTATAAAGTACAGAATATGGGATTCTCACAAAAAGCTTTTCGAAATAATCATCTAGTAAAGTAAAAATAAAGTGGTAAACTAAATTTCCTAAAAACTTCAGATCTTTCTGGTAAAACAAAACAGTAGAAAAATATATATACATCCCCTACTACTTAGCCTGGCTTGTAGGCACCAGGATGGATATATAAATTATGCAACAGAATGGAACAAGCTCACGTTTTTTGTACCCCAATTAACACAGCATTGCTGTTGCCTTGACTGAAACTGGCTTTAGAGTAGAGGAAATCACCAAGTGATTTAAAACACAGTCCATCTGCATAACACCCTTCAAGCATTGTAACAAGTGCTGCTGCATAAAACTGTCTGTGTTTGGGAAAAGAACGCCTGGCCAAAAGTGGCCTTGTTTATACATAAAACTCCGATGCATTCTGCACGTCTAAGTTTGTCATGACTCGCTATAAAGATTTGAGTCCTATTGAAAACCGTCGTCGTGAGTGCCCCCATCCCGACTAAAACGGCGGTTGAGACTGATACGAAGCACCAGGGTAGGTTGGGTTTGTTCCCAACTGACTTGGGTAACCCATGGGCGACACAGAGTACCCCCGAGGCTGGATCTGGCTGGCCACAATGGGCGTGCTCGTGTAGGCGCTGCTTGGGTAGATGGCGCTGGTGACTGGAAGTGCAGACGCTGCGTAGCTGGGCACTGTAGTGGCTCCAAGTTGGCTGCCCCCGAGGTATGTTGGCATCGGGTACTGGGTGGGGTAGCCTGCGGGCGTGGTTGAGGGGAGAGACTGAAGTGATGGGTAGCCTACGGTGTGAAAGGCCCCTGTCCCTACAGTGGCCGATGGGTAGCCTGTGGCCGATAGAGTGGAGTAGCCTGTTGGTGGAGTGTAGTAGGCCGGATTGGCTGCCATTGCATAGGCCTGAGTGACAGACTGGTAGCGCTGGGTCTGGGCCCCGGGAGGCAGGCCAGGTTGTGATGGGGGGTAGGGGCTTGTAGTGAACCCCCCAGCGGTGTAAAGACCAGGCTTGTCACTGGAGGAGGGGAAGCTGCTACCTGGAGGTATACTTCCAGTGTGACTGTGGTGGTAGTTCATTGCTCCTGTCAATAAAACATAACAAGGTCAGATAGGAACTATGCAGAAGGGGCAGGCTTCATATTAACATCGTAGTTGCAGGGGTTTCAACTATCACTTCAGTTCTAATGAAATACCTCACTGACATACTGTTCCCAAACATAATACAAACAAATTATGCAACTGTGGTTCTTCAAATGACTGGTCCACAAAAAATTATTAATAAATCACTGATCTTACCTGTCTTGTTGGTCTTAAACTGTGTGTACTTGGATTTCTAATCTGAAAAAGAGATTCCATAACGTAAAATCCACCTACTATATGATAAATTTACCAAGCCACACTAAATACATTTCGGTCTATTTATTGTTCTCCTCCCAAAATAAGGTGCTAGGGAAAGCTAGAATTGAATATTTTTTCCTGTCAGGTAGTAATCATCTCCACTACTGAGGGAATATCAATGATCAGATACATAATTTGAAAAGAAAGTTCAGTTTGTTGCTCCTCAAGAGCAAGCATCTTTTTTATCTACAAATTTGCCTGGTCCAGTGGCTATACAAGCAAGATGATTTGTTTTTAATCAGAAGACAAATACTATTTTCCTTCATGATTGGAAGACAAATACTGTCCTCATATCTACACACACAAGCAAAAATAAATAGACTGAATGCATGCAAAATGACTGTCCATGCAATAGACAAAGATTACAAACCAAACCATGCATACTTCATGAGCTGCATAAATGATATTTCATATTCAATATGTTCATGCTAATTACATGAGAAATGTAGGTCACCTGCAACAGCTGTGACAAGCTGCCACATTGTTTACTGCTAGGTACAACTAAAACCAAACTATAGGCAAATGCACAAAACACAGTTTAACAGATAATTTTAGCCCCAACATTAGTACTTCCTATACCTGAATCAAGTATCGCTATGCATACATCCCAATGCCTGTATATCCAGTGTTCATTCCAGTCTCTCTAAAGAGTGGGCCCAGGACCCACCATCCCTCAGTTGTGAATCATTTAGAAAATACAGATTGAATAGTTTTCTTAGTCTTAGCTAACACAACAGGATACTTCAGCAATGAACAGGGATTCTTATGATCAGTCTGACAGTGACTAATACATTTATGTTGTCGGATTATGGTTTAGGTTAATGACATGTTTTACAATTGTTTACAAATGTTTTAAACGTTCTGAATGCCAAAATAACATGGGGATACCTGTAAAGTTGGCGGGTTAGTGAATTAGTTTTACGTCGCACTCAGCAATATTCCAGCTATATGGTGGCAGTCTGTAAATAATTGAGTCTGGACCAGACAATCCAGTTATCAACCATCCGATCCTGAATGTTGGTTCGAAATTCTCAACCTGAACTTAACATACCCTGTAAACACTTTGTTTATCTGATGGGTAATGCACATTGCTTATGATTTGCTGCTTGGTTGAATGATAGCCACTGGCAAAGTTTGAACAACATATTTTAAAATATACCAAACACGTATACCAGGGGTGGAAATAACTTTAAAATTGCTAGTGTACTCCGGTACAGTGACACACTTAAAATCACTTGCCCTGATAATTCTTCCACTATACCGGCCGATTTTCTTGTTGATTTTTTAAATAAACAACATAATAAACATTGGAAAGTCAACTGGACACTGGTACAGCGTGAAATACAAATTTGCTAGCCCGACAGAAACAAACACTGGACTGGGGTGTCGGGCAATGGGTTATCTCCACCCCTGTATACATTGCTTTTTCTCGAAAAATGTAAGACGTTCAGACATTTGACGTTTGACAGCCACTGTGTCCCCCATGGCTGACTGACTGACTGAGTTTGGTTTTACGCCGCTTTTAGCAATATTCCAGCAACATCACGGCGGGGGACACCAGAAATGGGCTTCACACATTGTACCCATGTACCCGGGTCTTCGGCGTGACGAGCCAACGCTTTAACCATTAGGCTACCCCACCGCCCCGTGTCCCCCATGGCAACAAAAGTGTGAAACTACAACATGAAAGGTGATTGATTAACTTAACGAAACCAATCTATCGCAACCAATTTTACTAAACAGTGTTTTTTCACATTACACCGATTTGTAGGTTTTGCACTGGCATTCAAGACACAGGTTGAAAGAAAGTCATGAACTGAATTCAGAGTGCTCACAGCAACAATAACTCGTTTCAGCGAGGATAGGCGTATTGTTTGGGTTTTTTTCCCAGAGACCTACTAATTTGGAGTTTTGCAAAGTGAAAACAAACTTGCAAAGTGTTTGATTTACATTTATGGATGTGATGTCATGCTTCACCCATACTTGTACAGTGCACCATGTTAAATGTTAGAGCACGGCCAAGAATGAACACTGTAGACTGAGCTGCCAACTGCAATATTTCAGAAGCATCCACCATGTCCTGTGCAAGCACAGCACCACACTACTCACTGCCACCTAGGGAGCTAACACACAATGAGGGCACATGAAAACACAATGTTCATCAATGAATGTGTATTCATGGATATTCATAAAGTAATAAGTAAATTCCATAATGTCCATATCAAAGTAATTTAAATACTGTCAACCACTCATCCAAAGGTATAAAGATGTGTATATAATTTCACTGGAACAAAACATTATAGTTCCGAAAAAGTTCTTGGTCCATCAGTGACTATAATGGATCATTTACAGGAAGACCAAAGAAAACAAAGCCATTGCAACATTCAAATCAAATCAAAGGCCTATTGGTTGGTTGTTCAGGTGGATATGTTAAGAACTGTTGACCATTAAATGGAAGTTCACTAAGTTGACTGTTGTAAATACTATTCAAACTTATTTTAGATCTGATCCTCACAAGACTGTCTTTACTATAGTAACAATCACACTGATTAGAGAGTTCGGAGAGACATAACATGTGAAAACCTGTGCAGATAAGCTTTTCCGAAATGACATAAAACATGTCAAATTTCCAACTGAAATCCTTCTGTTATATCACACGATGTCAAAAGAACAGGTATGGTGCAAACAAACCTAAAATTTTAAAAGATAGACTCAGACCAAGTTGTACCTTAGCTTCACCATTGTAGTGCACCCTGGCTGAGTGTGTCATGAGGGTAGAAAGCTTCACCATTCCTAATTTAAGCCAATGTTTGAGGTGATAAGAGACAAACAACCAGCTTGTTTGGATTATATGTAAGAAATTGACAATGAGCAGATGCACTTCAAACCTTGGCAACAAAGCTCCTAAATGACTTCAAATTTTGCAAGAACAAAAAAAATCTTCCAGGGTAATGAAGATATCACATTATATAACTGAGATTATTTTATAACACTGCATTAAGTACACCTTTTCACCATAAACATACAGGTAAAATGAGCATGTTAATAAGTGTTTCATTACTTGTTTATGAGCTTAATCTATACTTGAAATCAAAGGCAAGAAACTTGTGATATTTTATACATCATAATCAATATAGATCCTGACAAGGACAAGATGTAGCTCTCAAAAATGGACACAGGCTCAGCTTAAAAATATGTTCTAGAAGCCCCTAGTTCACTTGAATATTGAGACATAAGTACCGAGCATCACACTGAAGAAACCGTTTGATAGAGAAATATTTGGTCATGGACTTTCCAAGGCATCATACAGGTATTTACACAAACATGCTAGTCAACTGGGTCAAAATGGACAAACCTATCACTTCTTGTGATAGTTTAGCTTGGTTTGAAGTTAAAAAGATTAGTGACTATTTAAAACCTGAGTTCACCTCTTCCAGCCAAAGTCCAATAATCTAAACATTGAAATCATTTGAAATCAACACCACAAATGAAGGCAAAGACTAGCCCATCAGCAACAAATGTTATGGTCTCATTCTGTGGTGCTTAATGGCTTTAAATTCTTCAGTTCATACCATCTATTCCCAAACATGAAGAAAATTTAAGCCAGAACCTATTTGACTCCAATAATGAAGTCACAGCAACTGCAGAGAGGGCGTTGTGGACATCCAGGAGAAGGCCTATGAAGCTGGACTTATATCCCAACAACATCTTTGGTGGAAAGTGCATTAATGTGGAAAGTGACATGCTTAAAAATGAAATCCTGTTAATATCTTCAGGGAAAGTCTTTCTGTGGGAGCCCCAGAACATTTCAATCAACTCATAAATGAATCATATTCACTGAAAGAACCTTTATCAGTAACTGCTTTGCAAAGGATTTATCTATTATTCTCAACCAAGGTCCTTCAGCAGGCTCATTGGGAAGAAACATAACATTTTCAATGTTTGATTGTTTTAATGTTCTTATTACTATAAATTCTGGGAAATTTGGAAACTTGAAATATGATTTTTCCCTGTCTTCTGTTGATCTAAGACTGAATATTGACCTCTGAGCAAGAGTAGATAAATCCTTGCTTCTGTGAGCAAAAAGGTCACAAGGGGTATATGACATCCTTCATGTTGAAGTTGAACTGGCATCTAACAATGGTAAAACTTTGACATTTACTTGGAGCCTGTCTCAGAGTTTATTTCCAGTCTAAGTAAACTTAGGCTCAGTATTATTCGTTCCACTGCTATACTGAGTCTAACAAAACCTTGTGGAAGGTCGCATCAGGTAACCTTTGAGCAACCTATGACCGCCCAATCAAATGCGACATGGCCAAACGGATTTAACCAATCAGACAACGGCTACTATTTAGGGTTTGGCGGGACTTACAAAATGGTTTATCTCTTCCCCGGTCGCCAACACTGATCTCATAACAAATGAAAACCCGCATAAAACACAGATATATGACCTGCAGAATATACGCTTTTGAGTTTCTGTTGACATGGCTATCATTTGCTAACATTTCCGCAAGCTGACATCCTTGAATACTGAACGTTATTCTCAGCGACTATTTACTCACTCTTGTGGCGTGCTCCATGTGCATCACTCGGAAGCGATCGTACGGAAAATAGCATTTGGAATTGTTCGGGTACAAAACTTTTTCGAGGTAAAAGTTCAAAAGGTATGTGCGAATGTCAACTTTCATGATTTGGTAAGCTGTGTTCTGATTGGTCCATTGAAAAGGTTACCTGACGCGACCTTCCACAAGGTTTTGTTAGACTCAGTATAGCAGTGGAACGAATAATACTGAAGCCTAAGTTTACTTAGACTGAGTTTATTTCCTAACACAATTAACTAGGTTGTCTGAAGCTAAGTCTCTGAATTTATATAGTTTGATAGAAACAAATAATTTCATCTTAACTGAAAAGGAGCCCCACGAACCTGAGGAAATCTGAACTTGCTTCACTATAGCTTTACCATTGCAGAAAGTGATGGACAGATGGGGAACTGGTTCAGGGACTGTGAGACAGACTATGAACAACAAAAATGGATGCTTTTCTCTAATAATATCAATAAATACTTGGATACAAATTCAGGATATTACTCAACCACTGTAATAAAAAAGATCACAGAAGAGCACTAATTAGCAAACTGAACTGTGGAAACTATTTCCAAGGCTTCATATAATCAAAAAGAAACATTCAGCATGTTCAGCAAATATTCATATTTTGGCAAACTTCAATTCCATGTATGAATGCTATCATGCCAAAACCATTGGACACAATTTTTACATCTGATTTACAGATATATTTAATTACACATAAACATGGCAGGGCAAAATATCTGTACAAATATGTTTATGCAGCTCACACTTGCATACATTTTGGAATTTGTATGGCCATAGCAAACGAAAAAGGGTAAAACTATTGCTACATGGTGACAACATTTTAACAGTAACAAAAATAGAAATTTAGTTCTGTCCAAGACAACGTTGTTTTCTTTGTAAGGTGTTCACACAGAAAGAAATTACACACAATCCATGTATATTTTTCTAACATCTCTCACAAATAGCTTTCTAGTGATGTTTACATGATTGTTAATTATATCTAAGATGAAATGACTAAGATTTACCCTGTTAATGCACATTGATGGAAGCTGTTATCAACAGTACAGAACAGCTTAACCAGCATGGTTCACACCAGCAGTTATATTTCCACTACCTCAGACGTGTCACTAATTATTATATGCATCACAAACGTGAATCAAAATAGACATCTTGGACAATATTGAAACTATTTTCTCAAACAGATTAATTGGCCAGTTACTTACATCTTACCAAGTTATATACTGGCAAACAAGGATAAAACAGAAGGATAAGTTGGACCGGCAATGAGCAAACCCATTAAATTGCGAAAGGTAGAGCAAATGTAGGCTAGTGCACATGCATTGCATGACGATGAAATTGATTCCTGCCACTGTCGAACTTGGTGTTTGATGAGACAGGCCACACGTTTTGCCCATCGCAGTGCCCTTGATCGCTGACAACCTGGTGCCCCTTCGCTAACAATGGCAAGCGCCAGTGGGTGGCACTCATACATGCTAATACAGGTTAATTGTCAGGTCGGTGCCCAACTTATCCTTCTTTGCCAGTAGACATGCAGCTCCAAAACCAATATCTTGGTCAATTTGCATGTAATCCTGACAATAGCCCCCAAACATAGCGAAAATTTGAGCGGCCAGTTGACATGTATTGTGACTGTAGAATGATTTTCTATTAGCTTTAAACTTCAATCAAAGTTCATATGGGATTTCTAGTCATCAAACAGTGCCACTGATAAGGTGGCACAAGCTGTTTGAGCTCACAGTAATTTTTAACAGATGGACTTTGAACTTGTCTGATTTTCTCAAAACAAGTTCTCTAAAATTTGAGAGAACTCTAACTGAAATAAATTCTGTCAGATTTAAGTTTGACCAAGGACTGGGATCTATTGACATCATAAGATATGTTTATGAAGGGTTTAAACCAAAGAAAGTGATACCTGTTTTCCTCCCCGTTAACACCATTTAACAATAGTTTATTACTGCACTGCTAAGTTGATGCCATGGCTGTTGCTACATTAACTGTTTGCTCTTCGCATAGTATATATTAATATATCATGTTTTTAGTTTCTGTTGATAAATTTCAGGATTAACAGTCTTGACCAAAGCTAACACTGTTTATAATGTTAATATCTGTAGAACTATGCTTGTACTATGCCAGATTTACACTACTGGTTGGTTGGTCTGTTGCTTAACGCCATACTCAGCAATATTCCAGCCATGTGGTGGCGGTCTGTAAAAAATTGAGTCTGGACCAAACAATCCAGCATCAGCATCAATCTACGAAATTGGGAAACGATGACACGTGTCAACCAAGCCAGCAAACCCGACAACCTGATCTCGCTAGTCGCCTTTTACAACAAGCATGGGTTGATGAAGACCAATTCTAACCCGGATCTTCATGGGTCCTTTTACACGACTGTCAACTAAGGCTGAGGTAGTGGGATGCTACAACTTGCTCCTTCACATTGGGATAACGAGTTTGTTCTCACACAGAGATGTGTAACAACCACAACACACCTACACTGAGTGTTTCAGGGACAAACCAGAAACATATTTGTTTATTCTAATATAATCCCACCATATAGCTGAAATTTTTGCATTAAACAACAAAACCATCTAATGTAATGATATTCATGTCAAATCAATGCTCACTTTTCTTCACTCATCCAAAACAGACGTTTGGGGAATACAGTGTAAACTAATGTCAGCATTACCCAAGGGACACTGTGGTACAGACACTGTAATGGATATTAAATAAATACTAACCCATCATTAATCAGAAAAATGCACGTTTGATTAGAATGCCTCATCAGTGCAAACCACTGCAAAAAGATAGTTGTTACTAGAGCTGGTTATGCAGATCCATAATCGGAGGTGAGTAATCAATCAACTGTAATCGTAAACCCAACTACAAAACTTATGTTGGGAATAATGCAACACAATCATAACATTGAGCAAATACCAATTAATACTACGATCAAGACAATCAAGGATACTCCCTTTTGAGACGTGCGCGAGTATTTTGTTTACAATGCACTTTGCAAGTCAAGAATCTGCATCAGTTGTTTTTCCTGATTTAACAAACATAATCAAAAGAAATATACTTCTAAAGTTTACTTTGGTGTTTCATTTTTTTATGAGTATGGATTAGTCTCCTGAGCCTATCGATACGCAAGTGAGATCGATCAATTGACCAGCAGTAGTTATCCTAGTTAATGGTATTACTCTGATTAATCATCTGAAAATATAATCATTAAACTGTCAATATTAATATCTGATATGCTCATAACTAGGACTGTGCATTGGCAAATACATTTTGTTGCGATATATATTTGGGGCTTCAGTGTTTGAGTGAGTATGGTTTACGCCGCTTTTAGCAATATTCCAGCAATATCACAGCAGGGGACATAAGAAGTGGGCTTCGCACTTTGTGCCCATGTGGTGAATATCCAGGTATCCAGCCTGATGAGCCAACGCTTTAACCACTGGACTACCCCAACACCCTTCAGTGTTTGAGAGTGAGTGACACTGATTGTACACGCAGAGCCTATTTTCGACATACTAAAGTCCTAAAAATAGATGTTATGGTTGTGATAACAGAAGCCTTGGATTTAGATTTGATTTTGAGAGATTGTATTTTCTTTCTTATAAAACTTAATGTAAAGTAAGCTGTTTTCTCAATCAATGAGTTTTGCCAATAGAAAACTTCAGTGTGATTGAAAGTCTGTGTAGATTTTAACTTAAACCATAGAGACAATCCTAAAACTTCACATAGTTACATAACCGGTATATAATCGAGGTTTTTGCAATAAGTATCATTTGAAAAGCGTATTGTGATATACTGGTAATACCATGCAGTCCTATTCACAACACAAATCATGGCAAAGGCCACAAAACACTATCAGTGCCACATGCCATGTAACGTGGCAATGGTATATCAACCAACAACCATGTCATGATAAAACCAACCAGATTGAAACTCATTTCATCATCAAAAAACCTGTTCATAAGAATTAATATAATTCTTCTCAGACATAAATGAATAAAAATCACATATAAGTACACATGCATGTACATTTGACATTGTTGGTTCATACTCATAGTAAAATCAAGTCTGATGAGCATCTAGTTGTTGATCAATAAGTCAAGCAGCATATATTCATAAGATGTTGGATATCTCAGTAAGACTTCAAAGACGTTTTATCAAGAATGTGAAACATTAGTTACATTCACACACACAATCTAAAACAGTAGTCCATGCAAAACAAGAAATAATGCAATGGATGTCTGTCAGGTTTGTTGAAAGGCATTTTTCTGTTCAGCCAGTTGTACTCTGCTCTGCAAATGTTTTGAATATAATGAATTGCACAAAAAATTGTTTTAATAAAATCAGTAATCAATTCAAACTTATTGCAAATGTAACATTCATAGTAACTATTCATGTTGTTAATGTGACTGGTCCTGTTTAAACTAGTTTGTAATGTTAGAATGGAATTTGTAATTGTCCGTTTAAAAAATATAAACCTGTTGTTGAAGAAGCATCATCAAGCACTCACCTCAGTTTGCTCACATTGGTGTTATACCAACATGAAAGTCACAAACCTGAAACATTAAATGGATTGGTTAAACACAAAATGTCTAGTTTGATCAATTTAAAATAAAGGTGTATACATAATGTATATGTGACTCCTAATAAAGATGTAACATTTGCAACAAGTTAAGAATTAAAATGAAGAAAAGATTGAGTAACTTTGTGATAAAAACAAGCTGCAGCCTGTCAGTTTGAAATGTGGTAAGAAATAACACATAACTCAATCTTTTTATGTTCCATTCAAAGCCAACAAAGATAACAGTGAAAATGATCTAGTTGAATGTTACAGGCGTTACATAATCTTCCTGTGCAACATGTATGTCATGAAATCTAAACACCTATGCCCTATTATCCTAAACACGTTTGAACACAAAACACAAAATATAATATTTAAATGCCATTAGATACCACAAATATTGGAACGCTTTCAAAGTAGGAAATAAAAAATTATTCCATAGATATCGACCGAATTAACTGCGCTGACTAAAGGCAAAATGTAGGTCAATGTTGGAAGATCGCAAATTCCGATTCCATCTCTTGGCGAAGCTTTCACCGACATTTTGCACGTGACTGAAAATGACTGATGACAGCGCTCCGGCCTACAAAGTAGACTAATGCCATATAAATTCCCGGTTAAAAAGCCGCCATGCGGTAAATTAACCTCTTTCAAACCAAGAAACACAGTTTCCACTCGTTTTTTTACGCTTCCTAACCCTCAACGATATTCCAGCACTAGTAATGAGGTGTTAAACACTGGATGCTAGGTCTATGTCTTAGAAAAGAACACAAGAGATTTGTCGATGCCGATTCGAAATTGCAGCATGGCGAATTGCAATCGGCGAAATGGCAATAAGGAATCTGAATAAGCAGCATTAATTTATTTCCACGATCCCGTGAAGTAAGCCTGGTAAATCTGAACAAGCCGCCTCGGGTTTACTCACATGAGAATGGTGAATCTTGTAGCCCCTCTGTTCTCGGACCCGCAAACAACAATGGCTGCTCGTTCACGCACTGCTCTGCACAGATTGGTTAGGACGATTTCGATTGGTTGAAATTTATTCAGAGCATCCATTGGTACAAATTGTATGACAAGGCACAAAAATATCTGTGTCATTTTAAATTAACAATCGTTAATTGACATTACACCTTGCACAAATATCAAGTATTCAGGTGTATCTCAAATGCAACATCCTTCTTTAAGGAAATAACAAATTTAAATATTGATATGTATTTTAATGCAGCGATATCATGAGAGGAATTTCTGTAAAGAAACATGACACCCATTTAGGCCTATATGGTGTAGGTGAAGGCCGGGACATGTTTTGAATATTTCTTTGGGTGTTATCTACCTGGATGTAGACACCGACCCCATCATAAATGCACCTGTGAAAGTAAACCAGGTTATTTGTATTTGTCTAATTTGTTTTTGATTTTAAAAGGAGACAAATAGGTTATTTGAACAATTACAAGGCTTTTAATATATGGTTACACATTTATTGATATATTGATCACGCATGAAAGGATAAAATATTGATATTTTATTGATATACAGAAAATGATGACATACGTTCGATTCCGTTAATGCGAACAACGTCTGAAGCCCATGTCTAGCGTCCCAACAGGAATATATAAAGATAAAAAGATTCGTTAAAACATGTTCACACACTTCCTTTATTGACAATGTAACCCAAGGTATGTTTACATGAAGTAATAGGAGTATATATACTTTTGTATTTTTAAATTCAAAACAAAACAACTCCCTCTGCTTTAACTGAACCAAGAAAGAGATACCCTCTGAAACAAAAGAAGTTCTTGGCACTTACGTAATGACACACTTGGATGGTCACGCTGACCAACATCCGACTGATGCAGATCGCTACCTGTTGACACTCGGGTCCGGTATCGGCTGCACAAAGCAGGTGTCCAGGTGTAAAACAGCTACTCCTGATCAGCGGATGTTGCGAAAGTACTAATTGTTACATAATTCAACTCTGTACTCGCCCGCATTGCAAACAGTTGCCTCATCTTCTACCTTGTGCGACGAGGGTGTAGGATATTCGCCAGCAAACCTGGTTAATTCCTGTAATATGAAAGCCTTTTTAAAAAGTGTTAATTTTATGGATGAGAGACACATCAGCTGAATACATGCCAAACATAAAATACTATCCTGCAAACAATTTTAAGGCTGTTGACCGAAAGACATTTGGGAATGTAGCACATCCGTATAAAGATGTATAAGATCACAAGCTCTTATGATATGCAAGTAATGAAAACTAAATACAATTGAACATATTCTTCCTTATCGATAATTCATGGGGCGACCCGGGCGTACCTGAAGACACAGGTGCTTCTTAAGTAAACACAAACCCATGCTAACAATAGATGGCAAATCTTTGCCGGAAGGGAATGAATAGCTAAACATTTTGAATACTGAAAGGATCCTGACAAGCAGCTTAGTCAGCTGAAGTTTGTCTGTTGTCTCACAACACCCCTGCACATAGTCATCATATACACACAAGTTTAAACAGGTTTACCCACTAAAGAGCGATGCATTACCCCGCATACCTTTGAAATCCGATGATATTCACAAGGCTCCACAATTATGCTTTTCGTGTATATATTGACTTGTGCGTGCGTGTGTGCATGTAGGCGCGGACAACATCGATGAACTGGCAGAATTGATTTAATCAAATCCAACACTACCTGTCCGCTGTTTGATATCGTGTGACTTAGATCATTCTACATGTGGCACTGATGGATTGTTTCAGTACATAACATTATTTGCAACTTGAACGTAACAACCAAAAGGGTAGTGTCTCTTTTTAAAACTTTTGTGTGTCGAAGTAATGGTCGGTCTCAGTTACTACTTTATCATGTATTCAAAAGTTGACAGTGATGAAAATTTGTTAATGCACAGTTAAGATCACTCCAAGTTTTTTCGCGGTGGCTGAATGGGTAAGGCGGCTGACTTTGTGTGCTGAAGGTTAGGTGCGTGACTTGGAGGGTGTGGGTTCGAATCCAGGATGGGACTCAACCCACCAAAAGTGCTAGAATCTGTACTTTACAGAGAAAGTGTAATCCCAAATATAACATATGTTACATTGAAGCGTGTTGTTTTGCATTGTCACGTTAGATGCGCTTCAAGATTATTACTACTACAAGTGTATGTGTGACGTCAAACTGTATGATACAATCAGTGAAATACACACGGATGTAATCATAATTTCCAGTAAGTGTACCTAGTAGTGAAAACTAGGTCCCGTGGGTAGCCGGGTCTTAATGACCTTAAACATTCAATTTACTACTATGATGTCATGTATTTCTCATTCAATATTTCGTGACAAGAGGCAATATTACGGAAATATCAACGTAAAGCCAGTGAAACTATTACTACTGAGTGTCACTGCTGGGAAATGCGAAACCACGTGGACACACAACACATGATATTGGCACATAGTGACACCGACCTCACACCATTCCTGTTACTATCTCCCAGTGGCGTTCAATGTCCCTTTAGTGCATACACGTCCCAGTATTATGTTCATATCACTAGGTCCAAGACGTGTCACTGGTCCCATGGCCCAGTATAGTCACTGCTTACCATGTCCCAGTAGGGACACTTGTCACCACACCCCAGTAGGGACACTTGTCACCACACCCCAGTAGTGACACTGGTCACCACATGCCACCAGTGTCACTGGTCCCCACATCCCACTAGTGTCACTTGCCACCACACCATAGTAGTATCACTGGTCACCACACCCCAGTAGTGACACTAGTCACAACACCATAGTACTATCATTGGTCTCCACATCCCAGTAGTGACACAAGTCACCACATCGCAGTAGAGTCACTAGTCACCACACCATAATAGTATCACTGGTCACCACATCCCAGTAGTGTTACTAGTCCCCACATGCCACCAGTGTCACTGGTCCCCACATACCACTAGTGCCACCAGTGCCCACATGCCACCAGTGTCACTGGTCCCCACATACCACTAGTGTCACTTGCCACCACACCATAGTAGTATCAATGGTCACCACACCCAGTAGTGACACTAGTCACAACACCATAGTACTATCACTGGTCCCCACATCCCAGTACTGACACTGGTCCCCACATCCCAGTAGTGACACAAGTCACCACATCCCAGTAGAGTCACTAGTCACCACACCATAAGAGTATCACTGGTCACCACATCCCAGTTGTGTCACTGGTCACCACATCCCAGTAGTGACACTTGTCACCACACCCCAGTAATATCACTGGTAACCACATCCAAGTAGTGTCACTTGCCACCACACCCCATGAGTGTCACTTGTCACCACAACCCAGTAGTGTCACTAGTCACCACATCCCAGTAGTGTCAATAGTCACCACATTCCAGTAGTGTCACTGGTCACCACACCCCAGTAGTGTCACTGGTCACCACACCCCAGTAGTTTCACTGGTCACCACATCCCAGTAGTGTCACTGGTCACCACACCATAGTAGTATCACTGGTCACCACATCCCAGTTGTGTCACTGGTCACCACATCCAAGTAGTATCACTGGTCCCCACATCCAGTAGTGTCACTGGTCACCACACCATAGTAGTGTCACTTGTCACCACACCCCAGTAGTGTCACTTGTCACCACACCCCAGTTGTGTCACTGGTCACCACACCCCAGTAGTGTCACTGGTCCCCACATCATAGTAGTGTCACTTGTCACCACACCCCAGTAGTGTCACTGGTCACCACACCCCAGTAGTGTCACTTGTCACCACACCATAATAGTGTCACTGGTCACCACACCCCAGTAGTGTCACTGGTCACCACATCCCAGTAGTGACACTTGCCACCATACCATAGTAGTATCACTTGTCCCCACATCCCAGTAGTGACACTTGCCACCACATCCAAGTAGTGTCACTTGTCACCACACCATAGTAGTGTCACTGGTCACCACATCCCAGCAGTGTCACTTGTCACCATACCATAGTAGTGTCACTGGTCACCACATCCCAGTAGTGACACTTGACACCACACCATAATAGTTACACTAGTCACCACACCATCATAGTGTCACTGGTCACCACACCATAGTAGTATCACTGGTCACGACATCCCAATAGTGACACTTGCCACCACACCATAGTAGTGTCACTGGTCACCACATCCCAATAGTGACACTTGCCACCACATCCAAGTAGTGTCACTTGTCACCACACCATAGTAGTGTCACTGGTCACAACATCCCAGTAGTGTCACTTGTCACCACACCATAGTAGTGCAACTGGTCACTGTACATCCAGCAGTAGTATCACTGGTCACGACATCCCAGTAGTGTCACTTGTCACCACACTATAGTAGTGTCACTTTGCACCACACCATAGTAGTGTCACTGGTCACCACATCCCAGTAGTGTCACTTGCCAGCACATCCCAGTAGTGTCACTAGTCACTACATCCCAGTAGTATCACTGGTCACCACACCCCAGTAGTGTCATTTGCCATCACATCCCAGTAGTGTCACTGGTCACCACATACCAGTAGTGTCACTGGTCACATACCAGTTCTGTACCAGCATCACTGGTCAGTATGTACCAGTAGGTCCCCACACCCCAGCAGTGTCACTGGTCACCATGTACCAGTAGGTCACTTGTCACCAAACCATGGTATGTCACTGGTCATCACATCCCAGCAATGTCACTGGTCACCACATACCAGTAGGACTGTCCCAACATACCAGCAATGTCACTGGTCACCATGTACCAGTAGGACTGTACACCCCAGCAATGTCACTGGTCACCATGTACCAGTAGGACTGGTCATACCAGCAGTAGTGTCACTGGTCACCATGTACCAGTAGGACTGCTTGCATACCAGCAATGTCACTGGTCACCATTTACCAGTAGGACCACATCCCAGTAATGACACTGGTACCATATCCAGCAATGTCACTTCGTCACTAGTGTCACCATCCCAGCAGTGTACCAGTAGGACTGTACATACCAGCAATGTCACTGGTCACCATAGTTACCAGTAGGACTGTACATCACCAGTATGTCACTGGTCACCATGTACCAGTAGGACTGTACATCCCAGCAATGTCACTGGTCACCATTTACCAGTAGGACTGTTCATCCCAGCAATGTCACTGGTCACTACCACATACCAGTAGGACTGACATCCCAGCAATGTCACTGGTCACTACCAGTAGTACTGTACATACCAGCAATGTCACTGGTCACCATGAACCAGTAGTGACATAGCAGTGTGTCACTGGTCACCACATCCCACCCAGCAATGTCACTGGTCACCATGGTCACCAGTCAGGTCTGTACATACCAGCAAGTGTCACTGGTCACCACACCAGTAGGACTGTCACCACATCCCAGCAATGTCACTGGTCACCAGTATGTCACTGTACCAGTAGTGTCACTGTCACCATCCCAGCAGTAGTGTCACTGGTCACCTATTTACCAGTATCACTTGTCACACCCCAGCAGTGTCACTTATCACCACATTCAGTAGTGTCATTTGTCTCCACACCCAGCAGTGTCACTGGTCACCACACCAGTAGGACTGTATCACTGGTCACCATACATCCCAATAGTGACTGTTGCCACCATACCATAGTAGTATCACTTGTCACCACATCCCAGTAGTGACACTTGTTCATCCCACCACATCACTGGTCACCATGTACCAGTAGGACTGTACATCATAGCAGTGTCACTGGTCACCACATCCCAGTAGTGACTTGTCACCATCCCAGCAGTGTCACTGGTCACCACATCCCAGTAGTGACTGTTGCCATCCAGCAAGTGTCACTGGTCACCACATACCAGTAGGACACTTGCAACACCACACCATAATGTACACTGGTTACCACACCATAATAGTGTCACTTGTCACCACACCATAGTAGTGTCAATGGTCACCACATCCCAGTAGTGTCACTTGTCAGCACGCCCCAGTAGTGTCACTGGTCACCACATCCCAGTAGTGTCACTTGTCAGCATGCCCCAGTAGTGTCACTGGTCAACACACCCCAGTAGTGTCACTTGTCAGCATGCCCTAGTAGTGTCAATGGTCACCACATCCCAGTTGTGTCACTTGTCACCACACCCCAGTAGTGTCACTTGTCAGGAGGCACCAGTAGTGTCACTGGTAGGTCTGTTCATACCAGCAATGTCACTGGTCACTTTGTACCAGTAGGACTGTTCATCCCAGCAATGTCACTGGTCACCATGAACCAGTAGGACTGTACATACCAGCAATGTCACTGGTCACCATGTACCAGTAGGTCTGTACATACCAGCAATGTCACTGGTCACCATGTACCAGTAGGACTGTACATACCAGCAATGTCACTGGTCACCATGCACCAGTAGGTCTGTACATACCAGCAATGTCACTGGTCACCATGAACCAGTAGGACTGTTCATCCCAGCAATGTCACTGGTCACCATGAACCAGTAGGACTGTTCATCCAAGCAATGTCACTGGTCACCATGTACCAGTAGGACTGTACATACCAGCAATGTCACTGGTCACCATGTACCAGTAGGACTGTACATACCAGCAATGTCACTGGTCACCATGTACCGGTAGGACTGTTCATACCAGCAATGTCACTGGTCACCATGTACCAGTAGGACTGTACATACCAGCAATGTCACTGGTCACCATGAACCAGTAGGACTGTACATATCCAGCAATGTCACTGGTCACCATGTACCAGTAGGTCTGTACATACCAGCAATGTCACTGGTCACCATGTACCAGTAGGACTGTACATACCAGCAATGTCACTGGTCACCAGTAGGTCTGTTCATACCAGCAATGTCACTGGTCACCATGTACCGTAGGACTGTAGGACTGTACATACCAGCAATGTCACTGGTCACCATGTACCGGTAGGACTGTACATACCAGCAATGTCACTGGTCACCATGTACCGGTAGGACTGTACATACCAGCAATGTCACTGGTCACCATGTACCAGTAGGACTGTACATACCAGCAATGTCACTGGTCACCATGTACCAGTAGGATGATACCAAAGTGATAGCAGGAGAATTCTTCACAGGAGGGGATTGGTAGCAGACGTCAGTGGACATGGTGAAATTTGACATTACAGAACAGCCAACACTACTGTCATTTTAAGACCTGATAGAAATGGCGGTACGAAAACCGAAAATACTTAATTTTTGCATTGCATTACGGTGTACCAAACTGAAGACAAAATACCACGGTTCTACTAATGTCAATGTCCAAGTAATGTCTTTCCCAGTTAGTTCATTTAAAATAACGAAGATTGTGGTTATTTTTTTCCATATTATTAAACAACGTAAGGTTTGGCTCTTTGGCTCAATTTTTTCACTATGATCACATCTCATATAACGAACGGAAATGGACCAAACCGAAGGCCTTGTACAGCAATACATACTGTACTGTGGTAAAAGCGTACCATTTCACCCATATCAGGCAGCCATCTGGGCCATCAGATCCCCTCATGGAAATACTATCTTAAGAGTAATGGCTTTTTCTACATGACCATTCACAACCTCCCACTTATAACTGCATCTGACATGAGTAAGTAGTAAACCTTAGAGCACACATGTGAGACAATTTATGTTTTGGTTGAAGTCACAACCAGAAGTTCAGTGCCATCAAACCAGGGTTCACTATAAAAAATTATTTTGGATTGAAACCCAAAATTACTGCATTCCTTCTATAATAATGATAATTCATGTTTATAGCGCCCAGTATCCATCTGTCTAGTTGCTCGCTGGCGCATAGGTAGGAGTCAGTAGGTGTGAAGTCTGGTGCACATGTAAACCCATCTTGCCCCAGTCCAAACATTTCAAGCTGTATGTGGTAGGAGCAAGTGAATACCACAATCTGCAATATTCCAGCTCTATCAACTGAAAGAACAAGATGTCTGCCATCTGGATACAATTAAACATCAGCCATGCTACAGCATCTATGCTATATTCCCATTTCAGTCTGCATGGGGTACTGATGCTTATGTCTAAGGGGCCTAAGTGATAAAGAAGCAGGGCACAATAGTCACCATTGTACTAGTGTTAGGTATTGGTTAAAATCTCATAATTGATGATTGGTTCATTACAACCGATCAATCATCAAAAATAATTGGTTAGCATCATTTAAGAAATTTTCCTGGTAATTTTTGTTATTTCAATTAATCGGACCACCACTAGATTGTACACATTGTGTACAAACATTACATCAACAAAGATTATTCAGCCACCAAGCTACTCTTTGAATACATGTTCTATAAACATGTCTCTCTCACAAAGGCCCATTTCTGGTGTCCCCTGCCATGATATTGCTGGAATATTGCTAAAATCAGCGTGAAACCATACTCACTCACTCTCACGAAGTATGCCCTATGGTGGGAAGTTCCACAAGCAAAAGTATAAAAAAAAAGTTTGACAAATAAGAATTCATTACTTCACGCAATTTTATTAGTCATCTTTTAAACACCATGTATGTGATGATAACATTCCTTGTTGTCTATTACATTTCTGAACTGTCCATTCCTTGGCTGCTTGACAGCCTAACTCTAAATGCATCAAATACTTTGTCCTAATTTCCCTTCAAGCCAGTTGTGTCTTGAGTACTTGTTGCATCCCTGTGCATAATGCCTATTGTGTTGATATTTAGAAAAGCACGCCTTACTAACGGCTATTTCAGAACCAATGGTGTAGTCATCCTTGAAGATATTTTTTCGTGCCATTTGCTGCATTTGTTTGTGACGAGGTTTAGACGTACATTCCACAAACAGTCTGCCCTGTCTTCTCACAAAGTAACAGCTTGAACACCGAAGTTTGACAGAGGATCGGACTTTGTATGTTCGACACTGCTGGATCAAGGGTATACAAAATGGGTATATTGATGATTTTTGCTGGCTAATAGTCACTGTTTGTGGCATCAGCAACTGCCGACAATTGTTTACAAGTGTTGAAGAATGTCTTTCAGCTATGTTCAGGCTGGTACGTCGACAGACAGCTGGGGTCACATAAAGCGATGACAGTCTGGATATGACTTTTAGGATAGACATCTTCCTCTTTTTTGTCAATCTGAAACATGAAATAAAAGATAACACATAAACTGACCACATGTAAAAACTAACATTACAAACGTTATAGGTTCACTTATTGAGCGCAGCACTTTAAAGAACTGCCAATTTAACCGAGTTTGTAGGTGTGAGTGAGTGAGTGAGTTTGGTTTCAAACCGCTTTTAGCAATATTCCAGCAATATTACGGCGGGGGACACCAGAAATGGGCTGTACACATTGCACCCATGTGGGGAATCGAACCCGGGGTCTTCCACTGCCCCAGAGCTTGTAGGAAACATTTATGTTAATAAGTGTTTGGAATCAAATGGAATTTTGTCATTGTTACCATCACAACAATTTAAGTGTTTTATCCTATCAATGATTGAGTTCCACTGATTAGTCATATTTTCAGGAAATAAAATACCAAAGTACCTTTTCTCTGATTTGCAGGTGATAAAATTTAATGTAATAAAATATAAAGTGTTTTACAGTTGGTATATTAATCCTAAATGTTTGTTTAATTCCTTCCGGTTGTATACTTGAAATAAACGCTGACATCAAATGACACATTTCCGAATAATCATTCAAGTTAGCTTCCGAGTGTACTTCCACTATGTTCCAGTGGCTACACGTGCTGTACATAGAGAATACTACACGAGGTCTCATTACATACGAATTATACGAAACGAGTGTCCTTCCTATGGTATCTGACCGAGCGAAAGCAAGGTCAGATAACATAGGAAGGTCACGAAGTTCGTGATAATTCGTATGTAATGAGACCGAAAGTGTGGTATTTTATTTATTACCCACGCCTTACATGCATTTAAATTGACAAAATAGCGTATTTTTGTTATGTTTTTGGTTTCAAACTGAAACCGGTTTCATAAAGAGGTTGCGGAAGAGTTTTGTACTGTAGTACAATATATGCATGACGTCACACTAATGACGTCACTGCTATGGTAACCGACGTCACGATGCATGTCAGTTGTCATCGCCTCATACAGCCTCCTACAGTAAACTACTCCGTTGCACCTCGTTTCTTGGTTTCCAGTTGCTACATTCGGCTAACATCACTGGTGGAAACATTGCGTTGACGTTTTTCGACAGATATAATGTCTCAGTTCGACTCACAATTAAACAGCGACACGGCAACGTTCGCAATGTTTACATTCCCACAATGCATTTAAGTTGTAGAATGAATGAATTCACGTGTTTGTTATGAATGAAAAAATAGTTACGTCAGAATGTGACCTAATTGAGAGGTCATCGGTTATCCAATCAAATCGTTAGAATCTCAGGTCAAGTCGTTACGACACAGGTCAACGCGATACGACACTCGTGTGACGTACGAGATTAATATGCAACTACCCATACGTTGACCACGTGGGTAATAAATGATGATACAGTGTCGATACAGGGTAAACACTGACTAATCTGTAAACCTACAAAACAGGCGTCAGACATTGAGTGTACATTTATGTTGTGACCGTATTCACTGGGTAATGCAAATGGCAAATGGCACGTTTTCTTGCATGTTATAAAATCATGTGTCTGAGTGGGGTATTCATGCTTCGCTGCGGCATGGTATCTCAGTGAGCTGCAATACCAGTCATCATGCATCGCGAATTTAGGGCACATCGTGACACAGTCTTGAAGGTTACAGTTACGATTTACCCTAGAAAACAGCATAACCAAGACACACACGGACAGTAAAGTACGGAATATGAAGAGCGTAAAGACGTAGATGTAAAATTGATGAAAGCACCACCTACATGAAATATTCAATGTTTCACTTCGTAAATTTGAGGTTATCGGCATTGGACAAGAAAGGGACAGAACTCCTTATAAATAAAGGGGAGGTAATACAGAATTACTGAAAGAGACGCTCGTACAATACCTATTTTGACCGAAGCAATAGTTTATTCAAAATTTGATTTCATAGCAACTTACAACCAACAAGGTGAGGTGAGGTGAAATTGGGTTTAACGTCGTGCTTGAGAATATTTCGCTCATATGACAACGTGCATGCGTGTGTATGTGTATGTGCGGCTGCTTGTACTAGCCCAGACTTAAGCTGGTTTTATAGTGCTAGCTCACTGAAATACCATGCCGCAGTGAAGCATGAATACCCCACTCAGACACATTATACTGACTCCGAGCCGACCAGTCCTTGTTGTACCCATTTAATGCCGAGCACCAGGCAGGGACCAACAAGTACCATATTTTAACGTCTTTTGGTATGACGCGGTCGGGGATCGAACCCGCGACCTTCCGCTCTCCGGGCGGACGCTCTAACCACTACACCACGGAGGCGGTCACTTTTATGAAGTAACAAAGCCTTGTCTGAAAGTTTATCTTACAACACCGGGACATGTTATCTGACAGCTGTGATGTCTTACTTTGGGTGGTGGTGGGGTAGACTAGTGGTTAGAGCATTCGCTTGTCACACCGAAGACTGGATTCGATTCCTCACTTGGGTACAGTATGTGAAGCCCATTTCTGGTGTCACCCGCCGTGATCTTTCTCGAATACAACAAGTACCATATTTTAACGTCTTTTGGTATGACAGGTCGGGGATCGAACCCGCGACCTTCCGCTCTCCGGGCAGACGCTCTAACCACTACACCACGGAGGCGGTCTACAACCAACAAGACACCCAAGGGAACTAATTATTTGAACGTAGCTATCGTTGAAGTGTACATTTTGAATACCGTTACATTTGAACGAAATGAAATTTAATACATTCACAGCATGCAAAACACAGCACGTGGTGCATATGCAAAGCCATGCGATTATTTGAGTACACAGGGGATCACACTGTTTAAATCCATTTGAGCTTAGAATTAGTATATCACAGTAGACAAGACAAAATGGCGACGCATTGGTACGATAGCAAGAGACATTAATTTATCATCCAAAACTGTGTTCCACAGGAGATATCGCTTGTGTGAGATCAAACGATATCTCCTAGGAGATATCGCTTTGACAGTAGATTTTGTACAATGCCCTGACAATGCTATGATGTCATGTACTTGATGACATCACAATGCTATGACATCTCTGCACTGCAAGTGTAATGGCAGTATCATGTTCAGAGATGTACAGTTTTCATTGAAAATTAATGAAGAGTGATTTTGGATGAAATCACCCTCGTGTCTTCTGATATCAAATATATCAACACTCGTTGGTAAAGTAAAAATATCCTCGGCAAGCCTCGGATATTTGTAACTTTATCAACTCGTGTTGATATAATTGATATCAGAAGACACTTGGGTCAGATTCTCTATATCCCAAATTAGCCAAATGTCTATAAAATCAAAAAGTGTAATTTCTAGTGAAATGAACGGCAACGCCGGCGGACTAAGAGCAATGGACGTTGCTGCAGGCCTAAAGACGACTCCGAGATTTGTCTCACTGCATTAATTATCAAACGCAATATATTCAGATATGCTTGTGTTTACAAAAGAGAATTCTGTAAATAACAGGATGGCTAATTTCAACAACTACCGTCGAAAACATCCCTGTGCAGCCTGTCTGAAACCAAGATGTGCAGTACAGGATGTGAAGTTAATAGCTTACAACAGGCGGCAAATAGAGTGTGGGGGTTTTACGCCGCTTTTAGCAATATTTCAGCAACTATCACGGCGGGGCACATCTGAAATGGGCTTCACGCATTGTACCATGTGGGGAATCGAACCTGCGTGTTCGGCGTGACGGGCGATCGCTTTAACCACTAGGCGTGGTGTGGACAGGCTAGGGACTGGCTGTGCGCCAATGGCGATGCACCACGTGTAAAGCCTGTTTCAGGTTTTGGCTCCGATTCACATATGACATGAAACGTTGTATGCTAAGCTAACAGTACTTGGCCATGGGCGTTTTGGGGATTCCATTATTGTGAAGGGACTGACCAGTGATATTCTGACCATATTTCGCGTCTTGTTGTTCCATTTGCTGAAATGATGTTGGCCTATACAGAAGATTGATATGTCATCCTGAGTATTAACAGTAGAAATAAAGTGACATTCCTTTGAGTGGACTTAAATCAATCAAAACCGATATGTTACTTATGCAGATATAGCACAAAGAAATTCGACTTTCAGTGAAAAGCGACCGACATGGCTTGTTTCGGAAGACGATACAAATGTCAGAGTAAGTGATACCCTAGGCGTAAAATATTAATGGAGTATATTTATCGATTACAATTTAATGATAATTCTAAACCCAAACTGCACGTTGTCATGGCAACGCTTACCTGGCGAAGTAAGAAAAATGTTCCTTCAGCACAAACGCCAGTCGATCCGATCAGGTGGGTCAAGAAAGATACGACCATGTTGAAGAGAACTAGGAAGAAAGTCCACCACCTGAGGTGTGTATATGTGTGTTTGTAACGTGTGGGAAGTTTGTAATACATATTTGTTCGCGTGAATATTGTACAGAATTCTTGCGCCCACATCGGTGCATGTACTACGCGTGAACTGGTGCTGCATATTTTACTAGTGTGTAGCTGTGTGGGGTACATTTAACCACGTTCTCCCAGGTCTGAGAATCAAGAGATTCATAGTGAAAGAAACGTCATTTGGTTACAAGTACTTTAGTGTTGCAGCTGCCACTAAATGCAACTCACTGCCAGACTCTATCAAAGAAGCCCAGTCGTTGGAACAATTTAAGTGTCTCTTAAAGACTCATCTGTTCCATTTGTACTTTTAAAGTGACCTTGTACTGCTACCAAGGTTTTACTTTTCCTTGACTCTTGTAAGCGCTATGAGCACGCCCCAATGGAGACGTCTAGTTCATCACATAGGGTCACTGTAAACGATTTGGCTGAAGAGATACATGAGTAGACTAACATCTAGTCTCTGAAATTAACATATTTTACCGAAAATTAATTAATTATAAACATAAAATATACTGAGTCAAAAAAGAAACTTCACATTCTTTCTTCAGGGCACTATACAAGAATAAGAGATGGTTAAATTGTTATTATTTCATTGCTGAGGTCTGTGTGATGTACTCGATACACTGACAGTGCCATAATCAGTTCCATTAGGCTACACCGCCTAACCAAAACATGGGTATACAGAATGTCAAGTCACAAGAATAAAAATGCGAAATTTCTCAGTTCAATATCGTGTATGGCCGCCCCGCGCATTCACCGTCTCCTCATCGACTGCCTGATGCTTGTGAACACGTGGTTGGGGATTCATCGCCATTGCTCTTGCAAGGCAGCGCCAAGTTCCTGCAAATTCTGAGGTTGGTTCCTAAGACCACGAAGCCTTCTCCCAAGTGCATCCCAAACGTGCTCTGTTGGATTAAGGTCAGGGGACCTCGATGGCCAGTCCATGACGTTGATTCCAGCGTTTTGAAGGAAATTTCGTGTCAACATCGCGGTATGCGGCCGAGCATTATCATGCTGGAACTGTAGACCTGGGCCATGAGCCGCCATGAAAGGAACGTTACCTGGTCGCGGTAAGCAGCAGCTGTGAGGTTTCCACGGATGACCAGAAGTCGGGAACGGTTGTTCCCACAGAAAGCACCCCCACACCATGCAACTTCCGCCCCCGAATCTGTCGACTTCCTGTACACAACATTGGGCATACCGTTCACGACGTCGTCTCCAGACTCTATGCCTGCCGTCCGCGAATCTGAGGGTAAACCTGGATTCATCGCTAAAGATGACTCGATTCCAGTCTCTCTGGGTCCATCGGAGGTGACGTTGGGCCCACAGCAGACGTTGACGTTGATGAAACGGCGTCAATATTGGCCCACGATATGGACGTCGAGAATGGAGATTGGCAGCCCGCAACCGATTTCGAATGGTCTGTGAGGACAGTCAACCTCTTAACATATCAGCCCTGGTACGTGTAGCCGGCAGAAATCTGTCACGTAGGTGACGTAGGACGATTTGACGGTCGTCTGCTCGTGACGTCACACGTGGACGACCCGACCTTGGACGATCAGAAGTGGTGCCAGTTTGTTGTAGACGACCTCGCAAGTCATACACAGTACGACGGCTGCATCCTATTGCTCTTGCGACGTCAATAACTGCACAATCGTGGCATTTCAAGTACCGTTAGAACTGTGGTTTAAAAGTGTTTTTTCAATTCTTGAGGCCAATGCAAACACGTGCATATAAAGAAAACGTCGACGCGAAGATCACGTGATCGACTGCACGTGCAAAACCTGATTTGGCACTAACGTCATTTGCACGACGAATGGATGGGTTTGAGTGGGTTTTGCTAACGTTTTTCTAGATTCGAAAGATAGGGATCCCATTTCGGATACATAGATGTATCATCAGAGAAAAATTATTCATTATTTTTCAAATTATATTTTGTGAAGTTTCTTTTTTGACTCAGTATATAATGAAAAGGAACCCAGTGACTTTCTTCATCTGGACTTGCCATATACGTTGGACCTGTATGGGCTTTCTTGGATATACAATGTATTTGTTTCAGGGTCTGTATGGCAGACTAATATATGAGTTGTCTTTTGTGTTTCAAATGTGTTGAAATGACCGAGGTCAGGAGGCTGAACTGTCCAAGTTGACTACAGATGCCAGTATCACTATAATATAATAACAATGCAATATTACTTCAGTAGTCCTACAAATAGGATTGTCTTGCATTCTTCGACATGATGACACAACCATACACGCCTACTTACTTCTCGCATTGTGAAATGGATTAGAGCATTTTGCTCATCAAGCAATACGTCTTTAGTAATGATATTTTAAAGAAAAATAATATTGATCATCCCTTTCACGTTTAATTTGTCTATCGATATTGTGTGTAGTGTTGTAACACATAACTTTACAAGCATGTTTCCACTGCCTTCACTGCATCTGTGAAAATAA